CTCTCTTACTGGCTCAGTTGACTGCTGTCATTGAGGGGGCAGTGGGGGAGGTATTTATGTTACTCGAAGTGGAGATTAGGGGAGAAATGGTTGTGGTGTTGATGTTGTTGGCAGCCTGAGCTGCTGCTGTGCGTTCAAATTTCTCACGGATCTCAGCGGTTGAGATTTTCGGTGTGGTTTTGCTGGACAAACTGCTAAAGGTTGTCTTGGTGGTGGCTTCATATACCGGTTTTAGGGTTCGCTCCGGGGTCCTCGAGTAGGAGGAGGAGTTCAAGGTTCTCGATTTTGCCACCTCAACATGCATCCATTGACTCAACTCACTGGAGGAGGAATCGCCCGATTTTTTGCTTAACGGAGAAATGGCTTCCACGGCCCTCTGGGGACTTAGCGGCTGCACCGGTTGGGAGCTGATGGGCGCCACCACTTTGGCTGGAATGATATTGCTGGTCTTGGGTTTACTCACTGCTTTCTGGGTGGGATCGGCTTTGAAACTTTGTTTGCGTGGCCTGTGAACCAGAACCCGAGGTTAATGTTGAGGTGGTGGAACTGGCAATGGAGGTGTTCGTCTCCGAGGAGAGGGTACGCGTGAGGGCAAATTTCTCCGGAACTTGGGGTACACAGGGTGACATGGGTGGTGAGGAAATGCGGGATGAGAAGACCGAATCACATGAATCGCTTTCTTCGTGTAACATCTGGCGGGGTGTGGCAACAAGGGATGTGCGTGGTGGCTTTGCAGGAGGGATGGTGTTGAGGGCCTCCATACGTCTCTGGGCCACTGAGGGAGCCATGTGTCGGGAATTACTGGTGTTGTTTTGTGACAAATATCCCCGATTGTTGGCAATGTTGACACTGTTGCTGTGCGTGGAAACATTTAGGGGCCTCAGGGGAGAACTCATCATCGAGGAGGAAGAGGTGGTATTTGTGGTCATGCTCATTTCGGCACGCTTGGCTGGTCTGGGAATGGTGTTAAGGCCTCCAACTCCTCCGCTTACTGAACCCACCCCACTATCTGTGGAATCGGTGGAGGAGGTATTACCCGATGCCTTCATTTGATCACTATCCCGACTTTTAATTTCCGGCAAATCCAATATGGGCTCGAGGGGCACATGAGGCCGATCAGGTATTACCAAACCTCTCAGCTTCGACAGACTACGTCTGCGTTGCTCTAAAATATTGGTAATGGCTGCCTTCCTTGAGGCCTCATCCGGCACATAGGCCGGCTGTCCCGAGAAGCTTATACGCCTATCCAAATGTTGGGTGGAGGCATGGCGCCGGGGCAGCGAGGCATAACTTTGGGTATAATCGGAATTTATGGAGTTCAAGGACTGCAATGAGTCGGAGAAGTTGCTTTGGGCCGGTAAGGGCTTGCTAAGCTGATAGAGTCGGGCAACATCATTGAGATTTTCCACACTCATGGCACGTGTCTTCTGTAGAGAGGCCGAACCCGCCCGATAGGGTGTGTGTGAGGTGGAGGTGTCCAGTAAATTTTCGGTACTTAAATTCAATGGCTTGGTGGAACTATTGGAACGTGAGAAGCTAATCGGTTTGGCGGCAGGTTCAAGTGGCTGAGCAGCATCGTCATTAGAGAACATGGCAATTTTGTCGCGAACACTCTTTTCGGATTTCTCATCTTTGCGCCAATCACTGGAACGACGAGGTACACTTAAGGAACGTTTATAGTCAGGGCTGTCGCTGAAGGAGGGGGCCTCTAATTTGTGAGCTGTGGGTGTGCTGCTGCCACTGCTGTTGCCAGAGGAGAGATTTTGTGTGGAGCGACTGTTACGTGTGTCGATAATGATTTTAGTGGGCGTCCCTGTGGCCACGCTGATCGGATTGGGCCGGGCATCTTCAACATTGACCACCAAATCTTGGCGATAGACCTTGCGTGGCACTGTGGCTGGTGGTGTGGATTTGGGCAGAGGTGGTGGTACGGCATCTGAATTTCCACCTCCCATCTCCATTTTAATAGGTCCCGATTTTTGTTTCTCCACCTCGACCATAGTTTGGGTAATACCATTCGTGGTTGTGCTGGTCAAATGTGTGCTGCGGCTACTGGCCATCATTGTGGGTCCAACTTTGGAGGCAGCATATAATTTCTCGGTATAAACGGTGTTACTATCACCCGGCCCGGAACCTTTTGTTGTGGTCGTCATAACGCTTTGCATTAAACTGGTGGTTTTCATGACATTAGCGGCTCCACCAGGCATAATCAATGGTTCCGAGAAATTTGGCGGAAATTCATGACCATCCGGGGGTAGACGTGAGTAGGTGGGTGGCGATGTTAGGGTTAGATAGTCACTGACAATTATCGGGGTAGTTTGTGGTGGCAGAACATGCAGGCCGTTCTCCATTTTGTTTAAATGTCTTTGTTCAAGATCTGTGAGTAGGAGGTAGGTAGGGAGGTACACAGGATGTGAGAGATGCAGGATTCGGAATGATGGTGGTGGTGGTTGGTTGGTTGGAAGGGAAGAGACAAAAAACACAAACAAAAACAATAAAGTTAGTTAAGGGTTTACACTAGTGGATTGTATTTTACAAATAATAGGAATTACAAAAATAATCTATTATAAAAGAGAGTAAAAGAGAGAGAGAGAGGAAAAATTAATAATTAAGAGAAAAAGAAACATATAATTAAGAGATTATGAAATCATAATCCAAAAAAGGTGTTATTTCATTTATCGAATTCGAATATCAATTTCGAAATATATTTTTTTCAATTCAGATCGAAGACATAGTACCGATTTTTTTTATATTCACCCATTCAAATAAAAAAATAATTATAGGTTTTAAACCCCCTATAATTATTTCCCATTAAATACCATTTTTGTCATTCATAAATTATTTTTATTTTTTTGCATATTGGAAATTATCAATGAACCTCCAAAAGAGGCAGAAGAAGAAGACACTCATAGATGTATGTGTGTGTCTGTGTGGAAAATCCAATATCGCAATGTATGTCATGTCATTTGGTATACAAATCATGATGATGGTAACAGAAAAAATATACTGAGATACATTTAATAATATGTTTATCAATTTTTATCGCTAAAGGAAGGGGTGGATAAGAGGAGTTGAGGAAGAGGAAGAAGAAGAAGGGGAGTAGAGGAATTAATTTTGCAATAGACATATATTTATTACGAATAAAATGTATGTATGAATGAATGTTGAAAGACCATATGGCATATGGTTTTAGAAAATTATATAATTAAATATTGTAACCCATATTTTTGCATGTTTTATTAGAGCTACAGATTTTTGTTTCAAGGTGACTCATAGTGAAATTTTATGTATAATAATTTTTCCTTTGAAATCACCCACCTAAAATGTATTCGTGATGTCTAAATTAACCCCAAATCGAACTTAACCCCAACAAATTAAAAAAATAATTTTGTGTGTTTAAGCCCCATAATTATACGGCTATTTAGATGAGATATATTATATATACCGATTTTTTCTTTCAAGGTGACTCATAGTAAAATTGGATGCAGAATAATTTTTCCATTGACATCACCCCCCTAGAATGGATTCTTGATGGCTAAATTTACCCGAATCGAACTTAACTCCAAAAAATGAAATAAATAATTTTGTTTGTTTAAGCTCCATAATTATAAGGCTATTTAGTTGAGATATATTATAAATACCGATTTTTCTTACAAGGTTACGCATAGTGAAATTTTATGTAGATTAATTTTTCCATTGACATCCCCACCCTAGAATGTATCCATTATGGTGAAATCGACGTCAAATCGAAACTAACCCCAAAAATGTCTCTAAATAAATTTGTTCGTTTAAGTTAAGAAATATAAGTATATATCTACTTATATTTCATTGAAATAAATTATATATACCGATTTATTGTAAGAGGTAACCTATAGCGGAATTTTATGTAGAATATATTTTCTGTTGGCATCACCCCCCTAGAATGTATTCCTCATGGTGAAATCGACGTCAAATCGAAACTAACCTCAATATTATTAATATATAAAATGTCAAGATTATTAAGTCCAAAGTAATGCTAGTTTTTTATGGAGCTATATTATATATTCCGATTTCTTGTCAGAGGTAACATATAGTTAAATTTAATGTAGAATATTTCTTCAGTTGACATCCTCCCCGTAAAATGCCCTCTGGGTGGGGAAATTGAAGCCAACTCGAAAACAAATCCTAAAAATGCCTATATATGAGTTTGTTCTTATATTCATTCCGATTTTTCGTGGATTTATATAATATATACAAATTTCTTGCGCTCGGCGACCTATAGTGAAATTTGGTGTAGAATATTTTTTACATTGACACTATCCCCATAGAATGTTCCCTTAATAGAGAAATTGGGGCCAACGTAAACCTAACCTCAAAAATTAATAATACAAATTTCCAAGATTGTAAAGGCCAATTTAATGTTTTTATAGATTTATATTATATACACCGATTTCTGGCAAAACGTAACCTATAGTCAAATTTGATGCAGAATATTTTTTCCATTGACACACGCCCTCTAAAATGTACCACTGAGAGAGAAATTGACCTGAAATCGTACATAGCCCCAAAATCATTAATAATAAATTATCAAGATTATAAATCTAATTTGATATTGATTTTTGTATAGCGTTATATTATATATACCGATTTCTTGTAAGAGATCACCTATAGTGAAATTTGCTGCAGAATATTTTTTTCTCTGACATCCTCTCTCTCCAATGTACCATTGAGAGAGAAATTGACGTCAAATCGAACATAACCCCAAAAATTAGCAATAACAATGTGGAAGGCTTTTTAGCTGAAATTATAGCTGATATTTTCTTGAGTTATATTATATATAGCGATTTCTTGTGCGAGGGGACTTATAGTGAAATTTGATGTAGATTAATTATTTCCACCGACATTTCCCCTCTAAAATATACCGTTAAGGGAGAAATGGACGACAAATATAACATAACCCCAAAAATAGTACTAGAAAATTTCAAGATTATAAAGCCTAATTTAATATTAGAATTTTATGGAGCTATATTATATATTCCGATTTCTTGTAAGAGGTAACTTGTAGTGAAATTTTATGCAGAATATTTTTTCTATTGACACTCTTCTCGTTAAATGTAGAATTAAACGTCAGATTGAACATAACCCCAAAATTAGCAATAACAATGATCAAAGTTATTCAGCTCAGTTTATAGCTGATATTTTCTTCAGGTACGTTATAAATACCGACTTCTTGTGCGAGAGGACTTATAGTGAAATTGTATGCAGAATATATTTTTCATTGACACTCTCCCCCTAAAACACACCATTGAGGGTCTATTTGACGAAAACTCAAATCCATAGTTTTAATGGATTCTTAACATTTTTAATTATTCGAAAATTATTTTTTTTTAAAAAAGGGGCTGAATGACCCCTAAAATGATCCCGCAGACGGTGAAGTTTTTTGAGCAAAATATTTCTTTTAGTGTTTCTAGCAATATTTTCTAACGGATCCATTAGCTATTTTGTAAGGGTCTCGGGGAATTTTCGTTCAATTCTAATAAGAAAGAAAATTAAAAGGAAAATTCATTAAAGTACTTAAAAGACCCCTTAGAATGAGCCGCTAGAGGGTTATGTTATTTTAACAAAATATTCCTCTTAGTGTTGTTAACAATATTTCCGAACACATCCAGTAGCTATTTTTTAAGGATCTCGAGGAATATTGAATAATTTCTTATAAGAAATAAAAATGAAGGCACAATTCAATAAATTACTTAAACGATCCCTCCTTTAAATGAACCGCTACAGGGTTAAGATATTCTACCAAAATGTTACTCTTAGCGTTGATGACAAAATTCCTTATCAAATCCTGTATCTAATTTGTAAAGATCTCTAGGAAGTTGGGCTCAAGACAAAATAAGAAAACAAATCTTCAAAAAAGGACCTAAAAGACCGATTTTGAAGAAAAATAACCTAAAAGACCCATTTCGGTTGCCCCTAGAGGGTTAATATATTTTACAAAAATATACCTCTCAGTGTTCTGAATAATAATGCGGAACACATCGTATACCTTATTCGTAAGGATATGTAAGAAAATGTAGATCGATTCAAAGTACCTCATCATTTGAGACTATACACAAAATATGTTGCATACTTTTAGGGGTTTAAATTATTTTCATTATTTTAATGAAACAAAGAATTGTACGCCTCCGTAATTTTTTTAAAATTACTTTACCCCCCCAAAAATTACCAACGAATTAATAACAACAACAAAAACAATTGACAATCTTAACCAACCACCGGCTGGCTGCCTGCTTGACTAACCGATTTAAATAATTTATTTGACAAATCTAATCCACAGATTGGACTTATCCGCCACCACCACCACTACTGTCTGTCTGCCATTAAATCAAAGAACAATTGAATTTTGTTTACAATTTAACAACACACAGCCAACTGTCTGACCCACAGTGTTTTCAATTTTTGAGAAAAAGTCCGCATTCTGAGGCTAAAAACCGAAAAACAAATTGACAGTGATTTTTTTCAAATTTGACAGGTTGTAGATTATGTGCGCAGGCGCGCATGCAGCTACATGGCCATGTAAACAAACACACATTTGACAAATGGGTAAAAAATTGAGTGAATATTTTTTTTATTGTTCTGGAAAAAAACTTAGACAAATGACCAGAGAACGTTACGTTACGTGGTTCTTTTTCGGTTGGTATTAGTTTTCGAGAAAAACGCCGAAATATTGAATTGATTACCGTCAAATTCTAATGTTCTTATGACTCGGTCGTCTTGGGTTACCAGCAAAGAACAAGAATTTGTTGGAGAAACACAAAAACCTTTAAATGAAGTCATCTGTCCTGTAGTCTGTCTGTGTCTCTGTCTACCCCCCAACGAAATTTACTTCCATCTCAGCCCAAGATTGAGACTGTGTCTAATCTTAAAAAGACAAATTTGTTAATGTCAACTCAAGTGACAGTTAAAAAATATTTTGTTAAATGAATGCAAAATTTCAATAGCAAAAAAAAAAAAAAAAACAACAACAACAATGCGGACAAGAATTGGAACCGTAACAACCAACAACAATGACATTAAAACCAAAGCTTTTAACATTTGAAAATATGCGAATTAGGGAATTTTGGTCATGGTGGATATTGGAGATAGGATAGATAATTTATCTATATATTACAGATAATTTATCTTTATATTTTAGATAATGTATCTACGTTATCTAAATAGCGTAAATAATTATCTAAACAATCATGTTTTAATTTGGAGCTTTTTTTTAAATTTCCCAATGGGGTCCAAAGGTTATCTATTAGCCATCCCGAGCCTTCCTTGATCCCAGATAAAAGCCCCATGGTATTATCTTTTTTACATTTATTTATTA